TGAGAGAAAGCCCGGGAGGCAGAAAGCCTTGCTAGATTTGGGGTGGGAGAAAGTCCCAATTGCTGGGTAGGGAGAAGAAAGGAATCAGATTGTACTGGGCCTGAAAGCATCACCAGGGCTGGCCTATGTGCCAGCCCCACCCATTCCAGGGAGCACTGGCCTGCACAGATCCCCGGCTGTGCTGCACAGCCCAAGGAGTGCCAGCCTCTTGCGTTCCCACTCCAGCTGGGCAGACAGGGTGTGCAGCCCCAACCTACCCCGAGAGAAGCTAGAAGGTAAGGTGCACAGCCCCCTCCTGGACACAAGCTAGAAGGAAGGGTGCACAGTACCTGGATCACCCCCAGAGAGAAGCTGGCATCCACTCCCGTTCCCTGCCCTGAGCCCCTCCTCACTCCCTGCCCTGACTCCTGCACATCCCGTGACCCTGGCCTCCTGCCCTGAGCCCTCCCCCCACATCCCCATGGCCCTGCCCTCACTCCTGCACCTCACACACTGCTAGCCCCCTGCCCTGAAGGACCCAGGCAATGCCAGGTAAGTCTTCCAATAATTCAAAATTATCTGGACAAACTGGAGAAATGGTATAAAATAAACAGGATGAAATTCAATAAGGACAAATTTAAAGTACTCCCTTTAGGAAAGAACAAGTAGCACAAATACTAAATGGGAAATCAAGAGAGGAACAGGTGAAAACTACTTCCATACAACCACTCAGATAGCAAAAATCTTCCAGACAACGCCCCAAACTGTGCAGTAACACCGAGAATTCATTCCTGCATTTAAAATATATACAAAGTGTCTGTCTAGCCACTATCAGAATCAATCAGTCTTATGGCTCATCTATACTGCTCCATTAAAAAGGTCACTTTTTTTTTCATTTGAGCAAACAGGTAATGCTAACTGTGAGGGGATTTTCCAAAACCAAAAGGAAAACAGAAACAATTCCTCATCAGCCCCAAGGCTCCATCAGTTAATAAAGTTAGTGAACTAAACAACTCAATCCTTCTAAGCCCCCATTCAATAGGCAGGGTTTGAATCTCAGCAGACTGGCAGTTAATCTTGTTTGGTGTCCTTATTAACTGTTAACTTCTACTGGAAAGTGCTGAGTAAAGTAAGGAAGTTGGGAATATTGCAGAGGAGAAGGAAGAATGACTCTCATAGAGAACAAGGGGAACAGTAGAAACTCATACCAAAAATAATGGAGATGTAAATCCTACAGCCCTAATTTTGTCCGATCACAATCTTCAATGGCTAGGAAATAAGAACCCTATTAAAACAGATCAGTCATGAGTGGAAAAAAGCGATATTAGGAAACTATTCCCTTTTAAACAAAATAAAACAGAAAAAAATATAGTCAACACAAGTCATCGGGAAACACCTAAATTGTGTTTCCTCTCACTCTTGGTTGGACTCTCATTCATACACAGAAAGGCTATTTCCAAGCTGCCCAAAGATTAATATTGTTTGTGTGCACTGGATGCCTGGCTCCTAATCAAAAACAAAAGACATGGCCCTTTTCAGACTAGAATGGTATTGTTGCAGCCCTTTTCAAATCAAATGTCACATCTATGCTTGGGAGTATAAATATAAGAGAAAAACCCATTCATTAAAAAGGCTAGTGACCTTAAGTGATGTGTATTGTACTGGATATTAACGTATAGTCGTTTAAACAATTAACCGTTAAGCCTCGTCTTATCGGTTAATCCAAACTGCATGCACTCCCCCCTTGCTGTCTCTATATCAGAGGCAGCCAGGGGGAGGGAGGAGGAACCGGTGCATGCATGCATACTGGTCCCATGGAGCCACCTAGCCCTCTTCTTCCCCCACTGCCTCCCACAGAGGCAGCAGCGCAGGGGACAAAAGGAACCTGGTGCTGGGAGGAACCAGCTTAAAAGCTGCCTTCCCCCCACAACACTGCCACCTCTGACAGAGAGGCAGCAGTGCGGGGGGGAGAAGAGGAGGACAGGTGGGATGCCAGAACAGCCTCTGTCCATAGGGAGCTTGGGGTCCCTGCGGACAGGGGCTGCTGCTGCCCTGCATTTTTGCACTAGGGTTCTTACACAAAAACAAGCAGTGTAGACATTTTCTTTTTGCACAAAAAAACCTTTTTCCGCAAGATCAGTATGTCTCCTTTTTTGGGACATAAAGATCTTGCGGAAAAAGGTTTTTTTGCGCAAAAAGAAAACGTCCTCATTGTTGCTTTTTGCACAAAAACCCCAGCGCAACAACGGATTGGCAGAAAATATGCAAATGAGATAGCGAATCTTTGCGGAGAAAACTGTAGTGTAGACAGAGCCTTAAAGACCTGACAACATGCATCTTACAACAAAGACTTTTACACCCGGTTAACAAAGGGAGACCTCAGAACTTTTATTTATGCTAAAATTCAACACGTTGCGAATGGGCCTTAATCAAGATGATAATTATCTTACACATTACAAAGACAGTCTCCCCACCTTTTGATATTCATAGTGACCCCAGATTAGCCACTTAATTGACTCTTACAATAAGCAA